ATTCCTTTACCCTGACTTCCAGCTATGATACTATGCTTCTCACCTGATCCATTCATGAAGTTTTCCACTGACGGTTTTAGCTGGGATCACTAAGATTTCTTTTTCATTTTCCTCCTCATTTCACTTTGACTTCCTGCAAATGTTCTGTCTCTTTAATGGGCATCTACTTTTATAGTTTGTATTGACATTTTATTTTATTTAGCTCTCTGGCTTTGTTCTCTTGAAATATGTAATTCTTTGGATTGTTTGACTATATTTATCATTATTGTTTTGAATTCTTTATTCCAAAGTTCTTCTGTATCATTGTATAAAGTCAGTAATTTTGGAGAACACAGGTTGCCTAGACTTTTTATCTTGTTTTATTTCTGCACTGGGGGCTGAACATCTTGAAGTTAGTTAATTGGTTGAATTTATCATTTCTACATGCATTTTTGGTCTTAGTCATTCTGACAAGTATAAGATGGAATCTCAGAGTCATTTTGATTTACATTTCATTTTCTTGATGGCTAAAAATGTTGAATATTTTTTAAAGTGTTTTTACATGAGATTTAAGATTTGGATCATTTGAGGTTCTTATTTTGAGAGTTCTGTGTTTAAATGTATCCCATCTTTAAATTGGATTATTTGGAGTTTTGATATCTAGTTTCTTGAGTTTTTTATATATTGGAAATTGGCCCTCTGTCTGATGTGGGGTTGGTAAAGGTATTTTCCCATTATGTAAGCTGATATTTTGTCCTATTGACAGTATCCTTTGCCTTACAGAATCTTTTCTGTTCCATGAAGTCACATTTATTAATTGTTGATCTTAGTTTCTGTGCTACTAGAGTTCTGTTCAGAAAGTTGTCTCCTGTGACAATAAGTTCAATGCTATGTCCCACATTCTCATTGATCATATTACGTATAACTGGATTTATGTTGAGGCCTTTTATCTACTTGGACTTGAGTTTTGAGTTTTGTTTACTGGTGGTATTCCTAACAGTAGGAGCAGGGGTTGTCCCTAAAATTTTGGCTGAGTTTTGAGAAGCTGTTCTTCATACTGGGTTGCCTTGCCCAGCCTTCATACAAGGGGAGGTATTTAGTACTACTGCAACTTGATATGTCATGTTTGGTTGATATCTATGGGAGGCCAGACCCCTTTGAACTGAAAATGGAGAAGTGTCTAGAGCGGGGAGAAATGGGAGGAGAGGATGCATGGGAGGCTTCCTTTGGGGAGGAAAATAAATAAATAAATTTACCTAATAAAAAATTTACTCCATTTAAAACATCTACTTTCTTTTTAAAAAATCCAAAATCTCCTTTAACAATTTAAAAGCTATCAACTATGAGCTCCTGAAAAAACTAAAATAATGTTAAAAAAAAAACTTTCTTACTTCAAGAAGAAAGAACTAGGACACAATCACAATCTGATCAAAACAAAATCAAACTCCAACAATATAAATAGCTCCATGTCCAACATCCGGGATTCACTCATGATCTTCTGGCTCCTCTGAAGAGTCTTGCTCTCTTCATTGACTTTGCTCTCCACAGGACACCCAGCTTGGCTTCCATGCTTCAGGTGGCTCCAGTCCACCTTTGATGCTGTTCTTGGTGGACATCCCATGGTACCAACGTATTCAAAGTATCAGGATCTCTGCTGCAACTGGGCTACACTTTCACCAATACCCTCTTCTTGGCTCTCTTCGTGGTACCAAGCCTCAATTTCTCTGTATAACCCCTTCAATCCTGGGCTTTCAGCTGCTACTCTAGCTATACGTTCACCAATGGCTTTTCTTGGCCTTCCATGATGCCAAGCCTCAGCCGCACATCATGACTTCTTCACGTCCTGCCATCAAAACCAGTACTGCCTGGGTAACTCTTACACAACAAAGTTTGGCTACCAGCAAGAGGTATAACCTTGAGCACCTCTGAAAGACAGTTTTTGTGCGCTGACTCCAAAGAAACACTTTTTGGAAGATTTTACTTCAATGACTCTGGTCTCTTCCTAATCACTGCTAATTACTCAGTCAAAGAACTCAACGGCAGGACAAGCTGCTAGCAGAGTCCAGGCTGAGTCAGGCTCCTTGGGAGCACAAAGTTCAAACAGCGCTTGTCCTTCCAGCCTTGGAAGTCAAACACACATTGACTATGTGCTGGAGAACAAATAGCCCATGCCGTCGCTTCCTGACCCTGCTTCCATAACACTAATGTGGTCTTTCACACCGAGTTCACAGTGTGTCAAGACAAACCTTCAGAACAAGCATGGGAAAGGAGGGCTAAAATGTGAGGATAATGCAAAGGTTTCGTTTCAGTACTGCTGGTCTCTTGATTTTTCAGCCCCAAATGATCAGAACCACAGAATCTTTTTTTTTTTTGATGAGAACCTTGTAAATTTGTTTTTATTGTTTGAGAATTTCATACATGCTTATAACGTTTTCATCAAGCCCTCAACACTTCTCTCCCTTCCAATTCCTCCTCTATTATTTGTATCACTTATCTCTGCTAGCTTCTTATATTTTCATTTTGTTTTGTTTTTTTTT